AAAAAAAAAAAAAAAAAAAAAAAAAAAAAAAAAAAAAAAAAAAAAAAAAAAAAAAAAAAAAACAGAGAAGAGAATAAGCACTATAAAGACAGTGTAATAGTGAAGTAAAGACGCCATTGTACCACTAAAAATATATTAAAGGGCTAATTTTATAACCTTTTTTTGTTTTAATTTTTCGATATTATATTTCGTAACTAGCGTTTTTCTTTGTTTTCTCATCTACTTATAAAACCTCGCCCAAATTCTTTCTTTTGTGTTTTTGAAGTTTGTCTAAAATTTGATGTGTAAACATGTGATGAACACAGTAAATGTAGGAATATGTAGGTTCAATAAGCTTAATTTTTAAAATTAAAAAATAAAGAGATAGAGCCAACCACCTTTTGCTTCATGTTCAACCAATTTGACCTGAAGCGATTTATCTACAACTTCCTCATCACTTAGCTTAGCTTTCAAGGCCTTGAATTCTTTTTCAACCGACTTAGCAGAGTTCACCTATCAAAAAAGGTGCCCATAACTTAGCCAATAAAGTTCTGTCATGACACCTCAGTAGCGCTATTAGCACATTCAAACCTGTTCCTGTATAGTCTGCATCTGAGCAAGGTGCTTCAACATTTTCCTGGAAACCTGAAAAATGTTGCGTCAAGAATTCATCAAGCCATCAACCGAATTTTCTTTTAAGTGATAAAAAATTTCATATTGAGACGGGATATCTAATATGTATATATATAAATTTTCTACGGTGAGAAAAGTAATAATAATATAAAACAAGTGTATGCAACGACCAAGTACAAGGCAAATTTAGCCTTCATAAATAACAAAAAAAATCACGTCAGAAAAACTAGTAAGAGATTTGTGAAAAAGTTGTCTAAATGAGCTTCGAACAGCTTATGAAAATTAGTAAGAGATTAGTCTTAGGAGTTGGAACCCTTATGATTTTTTTCTATCATGTAGGCTAAATCATATAACAATAAGTGTTTTTCTTTTTCCTTCTTTTTAGGGATATCCACGAGTGTCTAGGTAAGCTTGCATGCATCTCAGACTCTATTACATTTGGTTGTTAAGGTAACCGATTAGATATTACATTTTTGTTATTAAATTTTGTTTCCTTTCGTCAAAATGCATTAGACAACAATGGGATCTTAAGTTTAATTTAATAACAAAAAGCCACAAGGGGTCAAAAACAGCCGTGAATTCATGACTACAAACTCTTAAAACCTGAGTTGGTGCAAGAATCAGATAAAACATGAATAGGCAGAAAGTATGTTGTTTTTGAGGTCAAACTCAATTCTAAACCAAAATATAAATATGTTTAGATAAAGAAAAGTAATACAATTGTACCAAATCAACATAATCTCAAATGGGTTACCTTTGAATAAACCTCAACAATGCCAGTCTTCTCCTGAAAAGCTTGCATTGCCAATTTTTCAGCATTCTTGGCCTCCTCCCTAGCTAATTTTTTCTCCTCCAAAGCCCTCTTTAAGTAGAAAAAATGAAGGGAGTTAATTATTTATTGAGAAAAATGGCTGAAAGAGAATTTAATGCACGATTATCAAATAGAAAAACTGGCATAAACTACCTCAAGACGATAAGAGTTAATACAATCATACCCTCACATTTTTAATTTGATCTATTAATTCCTACACTTTTTTTATTCGAAACAGCTTCATAAAATTGCAAAAAGGGAAGACTCTGATCTAATCTAAAAGAGTTACACATAAAATCTCTCAACCTCCCAAACCTCTTCTAAAGACCTCTTCACCCTCTCAAGTTCTACTATTTCTCTCCATACACTCCCCATAGTACTACATCAAATAAATTGTTTCTTATCCAAAAAAAGAGAAAAAGAAACTCAATCCCAAAAAAGATTGATGCTTAAACAATGGGAAATTACTAACCTATTAGCCTCACTATGGGCATGCGAAAAATCATGGTTAGAAACCAAAGGATGTTTTCTCTAAAAAAAAACAATAATTGGAGAATATAAACATAACTTTTGGTTAAAAAAATGGAGATGAGGAACGTAGAAACAAGGGGGAAAAAACCTGCAACTTATCTGGTGACTGAACAATTTTTGATCGCAAATTTGCATTTTCTTGCACACTTTGTACGAGGAGAAATTCTGCATTAGAAATCTGAAAATATACAAAGAAATCAGTAAGAACATAGCAAACATTTTATGAACATAGCAAACAAACGGTTAGTCTGCATGTACAAAAAATATAATAATAGTAGAGGATACGGCTCCTTGTGCTAGGGTCAAGGACAATGCGAATAAAAGTTGTGGTAAAAGTAGCAGCAATAAGAAACTTTCAAAAAACAAGAATCACATAATGGAATTTACAACAAGAAACAAAAGCGTGATCGTAATTAAAGAAGATTAAAATCCTCAGCACCATACCAACCAACACTAAACACACCAATTTGGGTCAAGAACAAAAGCAGAGGCTCAGCAAAATAAAAGAAAATGGAAACCTCCATTACTTTCAATCCTTTCCACCCTACATGCTATCGAGCATCCCATTTTTCTCTCAGAAAATAGAAACCTCCCACCTTCTTAAATAAACCAGGACACCCCTCCAACTCCATCGATTGAGCAAGGTTTTATCAGCAGTAAAGGGATTCATTAAACAACTTGAAATTTCTTTCTTAAGAGTTTCAAAGATAATCTTCCGATCAACGGAACATCAATATATTCCAAGGAAGACAATGGAACTGGTTTACCATCCCCCAACCTTTGCTGACCTGAGATATACTAAAACTCTCATCCACCCAACTTACTTGGACCGACCACCTGCTTTGGCTTTTGAAGGAAGTCCAACAGTACCCAGAGAACCTTTCAACCTCGTTTTCTAATCCAACCAAAACCAAAATAAAGTTTTTCTCTCCTCTATTGGATGATAATGAAAATTCCACAAACCAACCCAACTGATTGGAACTTTTAAGATTGAAAAGTAACCTTTTGAAACTTGCATTTTCTTGAAAAGCTCGACATTGTAGGAACATTTTCCGTAGAAGAGAGGGGTTGCTCAACCATCATGACAATTCCACTGAGACTTAATGAAGAAAGAATGATCCTGCTTTTTTTTTCTTTCAACAAATAATAACCTTGACCTTGACCAAAAGGATTTATTGGCTACACAACTACT